TTTCTGGTATTTTTTTATTTTTTAATAGGAAATGCTGAGGTGTACTCACTTCAAGTCAGCCCTGCTGAGATTTGGAGCAGAGAGGAGACAGATGGGCTTTCTGGCACTATAAGGCTTTCACAGGGCACTTTGTACACCAAAATGTCAGTTGGAACCGGTCCAGAACCACTTAAAGTCCCCCATTTTGGGGACTGAACATCTAAAAGGTTTTAAATCTGTAGTGTGTTGTATTTTTGTAATTCCCCTTAAATTATATCTAGCGCCTAGTCCTCATAACAGCCTAAATCAGGGATAGATCTGACTGGTGGTGACAAAGGTGTTGAAGTCCTCCCGAGAGAGGTAAGTCAAACACACTGATGTAGTTCAGAGACATGGCAGCGGAGTTCAGCTCTGGGACTTTGGCACCGTAGTACTTAGGTCCAAAGCCTTACAGAGACAGAAGAACAATGCACTTACATCATACCATCACATGCTGTCATCATCCCAAATAAATGTTAACAACCTGAAATGGATAAAAGCATTCTATGACAGAGGAATCATCGCAGATGAGGATTTACATGAGATATTCATATCTAAACAGGAATATGTTTGCGTGCTTAGTGGAGTGTTTATCCCAGTGTCAGAGCTTTCAGTGACAAAAAGTCTCACCTGTGCAAAGTAAAGTCTTAATGGTGGTGTACACCCTCTGTCCAAAGTCAGCGGTTGTATGAAATCGACTTCCAAGGACTGAGACTCTGAAGGAAAACACAGACGATGTGATCAGGCTACGTATTACGTTTTATATAATCTAACGTGTAAAGAAAGTATTCATGATAATTAACAAAGGCAAAAATAATAATAAGCCCTTACAGTTCACCTCTGACCTATTGCTGCTGTTCAGGCCTAAAGAACAGACACAGGGAAGGGTCAGATGCTTCACAGCATCAGGGACATCCTCCTGAGGAGAAAAAACGGGATGGGTTAGGGTGAAAATATTGCATATTCTCAACACTTTTCTTTTCAATTCAAATTGGGCTGACCACAACACAGGAGAAAAATGTGTAAAAATGCTCAAACCAAGTACAATCAAAAACAAGAATACAATTTAAGATGTAGAAGAGCAGCATCCTTTTTACAGGAAGACCGGTGTCTCTGCGTAGTTGTTGAAGACAGTACATATGTTGGAACCGTTGTCAACCACGTCGACTTGACTGAGGACGTGACTCTGCGCCGAGGAGGTTATGGAATTCAGGAGCTGCAACGCCAGGAGAATGACTGATTACCGATCGATCATTAAAGCAGGGGAGAGCCACTTGGGTGGTTCGAGCCCTGAATGCTGATTGGCTGTGTTCTATTATTGAAGACAAAGAAGACTATTAAGAAGTCTTCATTACTTCAGGTTGGCGTGCGTCTGGCATGAGAGTGAAAAGCTTTGACAGGTCGGGGAATCCGAAGCCAAGGAACGTGGTTCTCAAAAAACGAGTTTTTTTTTTTTATCACTGTGGCCCGGCATTAAACAAACACCTGAATTACAGTAGGTCCCTAGAACCGGATAGAAGAACAGTTTCAGACTCATACCTTTCAGGAAGAGCAGAGTATTGCTGTATATTTCCCTCTGTCCCACTGTGAAAAAAACTGGTTGAATCAACGTTGTTTCCACGTCATTTCAACCGGAAAAATACAATGCGAAGACATTGAATCAACGTGGAAAACTGACTGGATTTGCAAAAAGTTAACAAAAGGGAATTGCGTCTTTTTTCACCAAACATTTAACCTAAATCCATTAACACGGTGCATTTTTTTTAATTTTCAAGTTGAATTCACATTAATTGACAACTCAACCACATTTTTTAAATCAAAACTAGACATTGAACTGACGCCAGTGGGCTATTTCTCCAATCAGTGTAGAGAGCAGTGTCTAATAATGCGATTCTGAGTGTTTCTTCAGTCAGTGTAGAGCGTAGTGTAATGAGATTCTGAGTTTCCAGAGAAAAAACAGGAGATCTTAATGCAAAAATAATGAGCTTAGTGGCCCAGTTTCAAAAGGCAAAGGCTTGCTTGAGAGACAGAAACAGACCATTGTACAATTGGCAGCAACACGCTGAATTGTGAGTACATTTGGATTAAAAAATTGGCAATACTAACTAAAACACAATAAACATTACTTTAGTAATGCCTGTCAAAACAATTTCAGCATTGTAGAACAACTACAATTCTAATCCGAAATGTCAATGCTGTTTACCTGAAAGGTTAGTAGAGAGATACGTACCTGAATAGCAGGTGAGTGCATGTCAATGAACAGTCCAACGTTAGCCGGACTGATGGCTGCCATGTGCCCCTTTTAGTTGGGAGGGAATTTTTGCGAGCTGAGCCAGCTGGATAGGCTTGAGGAGATTTTAGGTTATTACCTCTTCAATTAAGGAACAGCTGATGCTTAGCTCATTTAATGTAAAATCTAAAATAGCTTCAGACTAATATGTTTTCACTGACAATGCCTTGTGACTTACTCCATTGAAAATCACTCTTCAGGGTCACAAAAGTCCAAATATGAAGCATAGATCCGGAATTGTCCAAAAGTTGCTTCCAAGCCAATCCCTGTCATCAGTCTTCACACAGGTGAATACTTGGGGGAGAGCGACCAAAGGAATTCAAAACTAGCACAGTATTCTGTTGACAATCTACCTATTCATCATTTATAGCTTTAGTTATTCCATCAGTCCAATAGATGGCGATGTTACTCTGTTATGTGGTGATAGGGAAGCAACAAGTTTAATACTACATGCAACATCTGGGTCACGTTCAGTTGCCAAACGTTGAATGTTGCAGATATAAATGCCATGAAAAGAGCCAATTCGATTCCTTATTATACATGTTAGAGATGAGATGAGTGTTCTACACATATTTATATCTGAACATTCCAAAACATAGTCTACTGCTGAACGCACCCCTGCTATCTGCATTCAAAGGGAATATGGAATGTGTGTCACAATTGCTAAATGTGTACACTTGTCATTTTTGGAGACAGGTGTTTGACGCGGCAACAATACAGCAGCTGTTAACTTTAGCTGGCTAGCTAATCATGTTGACTAACTGTGGGGTGAAACAATTCCCTTATTTACTGTTAATTAGCTAGCAACCGTAAATCTCTTTGCTAGAAATGCGACGCTGTCTCCAAAATTACTAGCTAGGCAGGTGTCTAAATGTTTACTTGTTGGAGTTTGTGACATCTCTCAACTCTCCAAGGTGCTGGTTTATGCCGTGTTCAAGACACCTGGGGGGGAGGGGAACGAGCGCCGACTGAAATTAATTGTTTTGAACGGTCGTCCAACTCGGAATTCCAAGTCGAAAACTCTGGCATTTGAGCTAATTATTTTTTTCTGAGTTCCCAGTTCTCTTGAAAGCACCAATATACAGTGGGGGAAAAAAAGTATTTAGTCAGCCACCAATTGTGCAAGTTCTCCCACTTAAAAAGATGAGAGAGGCCTGTAATTTTCATCATAGGTACACGTCAACTATGACAGACAAAATTAGAATTTTCTTTCCAGAAAATCACATTGTAGGATTTTTAATGAATTTATTTGCAAATTATGGTGGAAAATAAGTATTTGGTCAACAACAAAAGTTTCTCAATACTTTGTTATATACCCTTTGTTGGCAATGACACAGGTCAAACGTTTTCTGTAAGTCTTCACAAGGTTTTCACACACTGTTGCTGGTATTTTGGCCCATTCCTCCATGCAGATCTCCTCTAGAGCAGTGATGTTTTGGGGCTGTCGCTGGGCAACACGGACTTTCAACTCCCTCCAAAGATTTTCTATGGGGTTGAGATCTGGAGACTGGCTAGGCCACTCCAGGACCTTGAAATGCTTCTTACGAAGCCACTCCTTCGTTGCCCGGGCGGTGTGTTTGGGATCATTGTCATGCTGAAAGACCCAGCCACGTTTCATCTTCAATGCCCTTGCTGATGGAAGGAGGTTTTCACTCAAAATCTCACGATACATGGCCCCATTCATTCTTTCCTTTACACGGATCAGTCGTCCTGGTCCCTTTGCAGAAAAACAGCCCCAAAGCATGATGTTTCCACCCCCATGCTTCACAGTAGGTATGGTGTTCTTTGGATGCAACTCAGCATTATTTGTCCTCCAAACACGACGAGTTGAGTTTTTACCAAAAAGTTATATTTTGGTTTCATCTGACCATATGACATTCTCCCAATCCTCTTCTGGATCATCCAAATGCACTCTAGCAAACTTCAGACGGGCCTGGACATGTACTGGCTTAAGCAGGGGGACACGTCTGGCACTGCAGGATTTGAGTCCCTGGCGGCGTAGTGTGTTACTGATGGTAGGCTTTGTTACTTTGGTCCCAGCTCTCTGCAGGTCATTCACTAGGTCCCCCCGTGTGATTCTGGGATTTTTGCTCACCGTTCTTGTGATCATTTTTACGAAACGTAACATATCTTCAAACCATGCAATCCAGCTTTTCGAACTGCGGGAATTGAATGCTGATGATGGTAAACGGCCGATTCATCACCACATTTCTAACGACTGGATGGATGTCAGGAATCTGTTAAAACACATGACCAGAGGTCATCAACACTGCACAACTCATCATGACATTCCATCGAGCTTTGCCGGTTCTATATTAAATTAAAGTTCAAGATTGATAGGTTGCTTATTTGTTGTCTTTCACATTCCACAAAAGGAGACACAAGAAGACATGGGAAGACACAGGAAGACATGGGGAGACAGGGAGACACAGGAAGACACAGGAAGATAATGGGGAGACACAGGAAGACATGGGGAGACACAGGAAGACATGGGGAGACAAAGGAAGACATGGGGAGACAAAGGAAGACATGGGGAGACACAGGAAGACATGGGGAGACACAGGGAGACACAGGAAGACATGGGGAGACACAGGAAGACATGAGGAGACACAGGAAGACATGGGGAGACACAGGAAGACATGGGGATTGCTATTTGTCAATTCCCCCCCCCCCCCAGGAGCTCAAACACAAGGTTGAGGTCATCTGTGTCATTCAATGCTCCAGAGCTCAATGTCAACTGTGCCACTTTGGTTGAGATAAGCAGCGACAATGATTCCTTCTACAAAAAAAAACGGAAATGAAAAATAAGTGGCGCATGTCAGTGCGTGGCACAGTAATATTATTGGGAGTTTAACCATCCAGACAAACATTCAGGCCACTTTCGCTGGAGAAGTTGGGATTGAGGACTTGTAAACTCATGCAGTTCGGCAAAAACAGAAAAGATGCCAAAGTTCCAGTCCGTTCTTCCACTGGTGTTTGAGACAGATGGGATCTGAAACAAAACACTTAAAATCCCCGTAAGCAGATGACTTCAGTGGATTGTCCCAGATACGTGTGGAGGTGTCTGTGCTATCCAGAACCATTTATTACCTAATGAGTCATTTCTCTAAAGGAATGGATGAAATGAGTGAATATCACTCTGTTGTTCTCTGTCCACGGAGGCTAATTGGCTGCTTAGAACATCAGTGCGGAAACAGAGAACAGAGCCTATGTTACCTTGACTTCTTATTCAATTGTAGGCATATCATTGAACATTGAACATGGCATTGGGTATCATGGCATTACATACACAATCGGGTAGGTCTGACAGCTGAAGTTCTTGGAGCTGAGACAGGAATGGACATTCCTGGATGGATATGCCAAGAATGGTTGGTGCTTCTTCTGGAATCACTTGTCAACAAAACCAGCGTTTTTCAGCTGTGCATTACTGAAGATGTTGATTTTGAGCTTTTCTGATGGCATCAAGGACATGTGGCAAAGCTGAACTGCTGATGTTGGGGTTCTAGAAAGGTATAAACAGTTCCCATTGACAAAGTCTACACATATTGTGTGGAGGCTTTTGTGGTCCTCTGTAGCTCAATTGGTAGAGCACGGCGCTTGTAACGCCAGGGTAGTGGGTTCGATCCCCGGGACCACCCATACGTAAAAATGTATGCACACGTGACTGTAAGTCGCTTTGGATAAAAGCGTCTGCTAAATGGCATATTATTATATTGCCAACATTTTGTTCTAATTCTGAGATTCAACATACAATGCTGGAGTACTCTAGTAGAGCCTTATACAGAACAGAACCATTGTTTTTGGAAGAACAGTTTCCACATTTTCAGCAGCATCACTAAGTTGTCCGCTGAGAGACGGGTTGTCTTAAAGAAAAATAACACAAGGCGGCGAACAAAATTAGACAACTTGTGACATCATCAACACGAGTAACAACAAATAAGATGTGAGGAAATGTGTCTGTTGCCACTGACAACATTCCCTGATGAATTTGAAAAGCTAACGGGAGGAACAGGCACATTCGGAGATGTTCAAATTGCAAAGGGATTCAGAGGAATTCCCAGACAACAGGTGTTGCTCCAGTTGTGAGCTGTGGGAAACGGTAATGAAAAATACCTTTGTTTACAAATGATAACTCAGTGGGTCTCAATTACCTACACCATGCACTATACAAGAAAGTACTGAACCCACCTGTTTATTCCAGCACAAAGTTGTTCCTCTGAAAAAGATAATGAAAAAAAACAATAGTTCTTTAGACACAAAATAAATTGCCAATCTGATGAAAGAAAATCTAAATGACCCAGTTAGCATCAACTTACAATTAACCAATCTGTCTTTGCACAGATATCTGAACAATGCAGATATCTGACGTATGGCCTTTCCATGTATCGTGTAAACAAGTGTCTAATTTTAGTAAGATCCCATTCAGAGAGTACTTACCACAATAAAATATGGAGGCCTTGAGCAACCTTTGGGAGGTAGTTGAAATAAGGACACTCAATTAACGGGAAGACTTATGAGAAAACAAAATAAAAAGACATTGACTGCTTTAGTGACGCCCCAGTGTAGTAGGTAAAATACATTGACTGCTTTAGTGACACCCCAGTGTAGTAGGTAAAATACATTGACCGCTTTAGTGACACCCCAGTGTAGTAGGTAAAATACATTGACCGCTTTAGTGACGCCCCAGTGTAGTAGGTAAAATACATTGACCGCTTTAGTGACACCCCAGTGTATGTATATAATAATAATGACCTACCTAATGGAGCAACCACAGAGCAGGCTACTTAAATGCCATAAATTGTCCGCCTTTCACTTGAACAATGGGGAGGAACCAGAAATATCAGTATCAGGATTAATTTAGCTCTCGAGTACCCTAGTGGGGTACCAGTTTACAGCCGGCCGGCTTCTCAGCTGATGTTACCTACCTAACCGAACCTCGTGGACTAGAATCCTGACGCTCTGTTTAATCCCGTTTCTCTTTCTAAATGCAAATACGCCTCACTTGCGTTAGGCCTACAGTTTTGAAAACATTTTGGGATTTAACAGTCACATGCAAGATTTTTGTTTCCAAATACAAAAGATCAAATCAAATCAAATGTTATTGGTCACATACACGTGTTTAGCAGATGTTATTGCGGGTGTAGCGAAATGCTTGTGCTTCTAGCTCCGACAGTGCAGTAATATCTAACAAGTAATATCGAACAATTTCACAACATATACCCAATACACACAAATCTAAGTAAGGAATGAATTAAGAATATATACAGTACCAGTCAAAAGTTTGGACACACCTACTCATTCAAGAGTTTTTCTTTATTTTTACTATTTTTTGCATTGTAGAATAATAGTGAAGACAACAAAACTATGACATAACACATATGGAATCATGTAGTAACCAAAAGATAGCCCTATTGTAGTATACAGAAGATAGCTCTATTTGGTAAAAGACCAAGTCCATATTATGGCAAGAACAGCTCAAATAAGCAAAGAGAAACAACAGTCCATCATTACTTTAAGACATGACATGAAGGTCAGTCAATACAGAAAATGACAAGAACTTTGAAAGTTTCTTCAAGTGCAGTTGCAAAAACCATCAAGTGCTATGATGAAACTGGCTCTCATGAGGACCGCCACAGGAAAGTAAGACCCAGAGTTACCTCTGCTGCAGAGGATACGTTTATTAGAGTTACCAGCCTCAGAAATTGCAGCCCAAATAAATGCTTCACAGAGTTCAAGTAACAGACACATCTCAAAATCAACTGTTCAGAGGAGACTGTGTGAATCAGGCCTTCATGGTCAAATTGCTGCAAAGAAACCACTACTAAAGGACACAAATAAGAAGAAGAGACTTGCTTGGGCCAAGAAACACAAGCAATGGACATTAGACCGGTGGAAATCTGTCCTTTGGTCTGGAGTCCAAATGTGAGATTTTTGGTTACAACCGCCGTGTCTTTGTGAGATGCGGTGTGGGTGAACGGATGATCTCCGCATGTGTAGTTCCCACCGTAAAGCATGGAGGAGGAGGTGTTATGGTGTGGGGGTGCTTTGCTGGTGACACTGTCTGTGATTTTTATTTATTTATTCAAGGCACACTTTAACCAGCATGGCTACCACAGCATTCTGCAGTGATACACCATCCCATCTGTTTTGGGTTTAGTGGGACTATCATTTGTTTTTCAACAGGACAATGACCCAACACACTTCCAGGCTGTGTAAGGGCTATTTTACCAAGAAGGAGAGTGATGGAGTGCTGCATCAGATGACCTGGCCTCCACAATCCCCCAACCTCCACCCAATTTGAGATGGTTTGGGATGAGTTGGACCACAGGAAAAGCAGCCAACAAGTGCTTAGCATATGCGGGAACTCCTTCAAGACTGTTGGAAAAGCATTCCAGGTGAAGCTGGTTGAGAGAATGCCAAGAGTGTCCAAAACTGTCATCAAGGCAAAGGGTGGCTATTTGAAGAATCTCAAATATAAAATATATTTTGATTTGTTTAACACTTTTTTGGTTACTACATGATTCCATATACGTTATTTCATAGTTTTGATGTCTTCACTATTATTCTACAATGTAGAAAATAGTAAAGATAAAGAAAACCCTGAATAGGTTGTCCAATCTTTTGACTGGTACTGTAGCTGTACCATGATATTTGCATTGCTACTAAGTAACCCACCAATTGTTCTCCACTATTCCACCTGCTAAAGCCCCTCCCCATCCCAAGTTGGGTTGTCATGCCAGTGACCGGCAGACCACCCCCGTCCCCCTTGATCCCTAGGCCCCCCGAGAGGCCGGGACCCATTCTTCAAAAACATTACACAGTGCCACCCATAGAACAGAAGCAGATCAACCTCTAAAAGTATTTCCAATGCTCTCACCTCAATTTGCTTTATATATAGCTATTAATATTCTAATAGAATATCTTGCGTATTTTAACTTCCATCATTAACAATTCATATGCGTAATAATGTCGGCAGTTCATGCAAAGGATCGTTACCTATAACCAGGATTGCCATTGCAAACAGTTACAGCTGTTTGAGAAAGCATGCAAGATTGAGCAGAAATTGGAGGAAAAAAATGAGATTTGATTAACCAATGCCAAGTCCTAGGTGATGGAGATCAGATCCACCCCCCTCCCATGAAACACACACATTGTCACGGTCATTGAAGGACGGGTCAGACAAAGGCGCAGCGTGAAATGCATACATGTTTATTATCAAAATAAACACACAAACAAAACAACAAAACAACGTAACGTGAAGTCCTCAGGCTAACCACAATACAAGGCTATACACGGAATAAGATCCCCAACTAATGATTGCAAACAGGCTACTTAAGTATGATCCCCAATCAGAGACAACGAGCGACAGCTGCCTCTGATTGGGAATCACACCCGGCCAAACATAGAAACACAATACCTAGAATGTAAACATAGAAATAATAACATAGATATCCACACCCTGACTCAACATACAAGAGTTCCATAAGTCAGGGTGTGACAGTACCCCCCCCCAAAGGTGCGGACTCCGACTGCACAAACCTGACATAACAGGGTAGGGTCCGGGCGGGCATTCCGCCTCGGAGACGGATCCGGCCCCGGGAGTGACGACCTCATTCTCTCAGCCTCCCCGTTGCGCCCCTGGCTGGTCTGGACCTCAGCGCGCTGCTTCCCCTCTCCTTCCTCCCACGATGCACCAAGCCCTGTCTGGACCCTGGTGTGGGAGACCCCGAACCTGGAGAGGGGCTGACGTCTGGGCCTGGATCGGCAATCGTCCCGCGATGCACCAAGCCCTGTCTGGACCCTGGTGTGGGAGACCCCGAACCTGGAGAGGGGCTGACGTCTGGGTCTGGGCTGGAGCCGCTGACCAGAGCTGGACTGGACCCCGGGGGAGCGGACTGCTCTGGCTCCGGAGAGGAGACGCTGACCGGAGCTGGACCGGGCACCGGTGGAGCAGACTGCTCTAGCTCCAGAGTGGAGCAGCTGACCGGTGCCGGAACAGGCACCGGTGGAACGGGCACGGGCCGTGCCGGACTGGACACACGCATCACTGGTCTGGTGCGAGGTGCAGGCACGGGCCGGACCCGACTAGAAACACGCACCACTGGCTTTGTGCGAGGAGCAGGCATGGGCCGTAACGGACTGGGAACACGCACCACTGCCTTGGTGCGAGGAGCAGGTACGGGCCGGACCGGACTAGGAACGCGCACCACTGTCTTGGTGTGGGGAGCAGGCACAGGCCGTACCGGACTGGGGACACACACCACTGGCTTGGTGCGGGGAGCAGGTACGGGGCGAACCGGGCTGGCGACACACACCACTGGTTTGGTGTGAGGAGCAGGGACGGGCCGTACTGGATTGGTGAGGTGCACTGGTGACACGGTGCGTAGAACCGGAGCAGTATATACTGGACCTTGGAGGCGTACTGGAGGTCTGGAGTGTATGCTGGCACAACCCGTCCTGGCTGGATGCCCACTTTCGCACGGCA